CTTGCTGTAAATAAACCCTCCCTCAAAAGCAATACGTATTAAAGGAGCATGGAGGCGGACGGGTGTGTGGGTGAGAGAGGTGTGTGAAGAGAGAGGTGTGTGAAACGGTGGCAGCAGGTGAACTAACTCAAAGGAAGTGTGTGCGGGGGAAAAGGAAACCTATAGGAAGGGGAGCGGGTTATGTGGGGGCATTAAAGGAACGTCTATTTTAGAGCAGATGGGAAACAGATGAGGGCTCCACCTGGGTCTCAATTATCATCAGTGTGGATTCAAGATGCTAAGGTTTTATTGTCATATGCACAAAGCTACAGTGTAGAAATGGCAATGCAATTCTTCTGACCTGAGCTCCTCCAACAATGCAACATATATATTAAAAATATAAAATAAAAAGTAGTGCAAAAAGTCTATATACATGTCAATAGAGTGGAGGCACCAATGCAACTTCTCCTCCTGGAAGGGCTACAGGGTGGTGTGTGTGTGTGTGTGTGTGTGTGTGTGTGTGTGTGTGTGTGTGTGGTGTGTGTGTGTGTGTGTGTGTGTGTGTGTGTGTGTGTGTGTGGTGTGTGTGTGTGTGTGTGTGTGTGTGTGTGTGTGTGTGTGGTGGTAAATGGCAGAGACATGTTGGACAGTGTTTTCTCAACAGGGTCAGATCACCCTGACCTTTAGTGCTTTCATCACGAAGAGAGGGACGTTCTTTGGAGCTGTATCAGTAAATTAATTGAACACAAAGCCTGCTTTCACTGTGTCCTTTTTCACGAGGCATTATATGAGAGCATGTCAGGATGTTGGCAAAGCTTCTTTATGTTTATTTCAAGGTTCATATTGATACGAGAAAGGAGCAAAGCCTTTACCTGTTTGGTTAATAATCTTGTAGACTGTTTGTATTTTGCTTTCTACTGCCCCTTATACTCCTTATGACATGTCTATATACTGCATTACACAAAAGCTGCTATCTGTCATCGTCCAGGCAGAATTAAATGGGGGATACTTTATTTTATACTACTACTACTACCAATAATATATAATAATTGGACTGGCACCACATTACCTGTCTGAGTTGTTGCACCGCCATGCTCCAGCTACAGCAGTGTTTCTCAAACTTTTTCATACCAAGGACCACTTAACCAATAACAAAACACTCGCGGACCACCTAACTCCACAAATATCCAAAAACACATCGTTTTTTACAAATCGCCTGAAAATGGTACAAACAAGTGGCAACATGTGTGATGAAGGTGTTTATCTGGGCTATATCATGCAATCGAAAGTGAAACTTAAGCTCGCTCCATTGCGGAGATATTCCTGCGAGAGTGCGGAAAACTTAAATTTATTTATTTATTTCAAATGTGAAATGTTACCAATATACTCACGGACCACTAGGGGGCGCTCACAGACCCCCAGTGGTCCGCGGACCACACTTTGAGAAGCACTGAGCAGCTCCCAGACTGTGGAACAGCCTCCCAGCACATATCCGGACTGCTGAGTCTATTGAACTTTTTAAATCTCAGCTAAAAACTCACCTCTTTGCACTGTCTTGTAATACTCGTTGAACATTACATTTTTATATGTGTATGTGGTTTTTTTTAAATTGTATTTAATTTTGTATATGTTTCTAGTTATTGTGCTTTTTATCATGTTTATAATTATTGTTTTATTATTGTAGTCCCATTGTGTTATTTAATATTGTAGTTATTGCCTGTACAGCACTTTGGTCAACTGAAGGTTGTTTTACATGTGCTATATAAATAAATAAAGATTGAGATTGAATAATACTATTACTCCTAGGAATACTATGTTTACTACAAATACTACTACTTATACTATGAATATAACTACTACAAAAACGACTACCAATAATATTACTTGGCTTAACATTTCCAATTCAAATCATTTTCCCTTTTCTGCATTTTTGAAGTGAATTTGTTTCCTTATGAAAAGCATTATTAACCTCTGTATCTGAAATGTGGAATATGAACCTTCATATACATTTATTAAATAATATCTTACATGCCTGGAATCTAGTTAGCCAAAACGTCTTAACTGCATGCACATCGTAAACATTGTATAACCTCTTCTACCCTCTTCATCCCTCCTCCTCCTCCTCTTCCTCCTTCAGACTCCCAGACAGCTTCCCAGGGAACAAAAGCTACACTTCTTCTTCACACCCTGACAGCGCGACAAATTAGGTGCCAATTACATGTGTTTGAGTGACTTGTTTGTGGGCAAACTGGAGCAGCTGGCAGACATTGGACTGAGACCCCCTGAAGTCATTTCATATTGCAGAATAAGCCCCGAGCCTGCAGGTGAGATTATGTGGAAATGCTGAAAATGTGTGCTCCCTCTTTAATTACACTCTCTCTCACCTCTCCATTCTGTCAGCGTGTGTTGACTGGACAGGTGATTTAAATTGGGCTGTCCTTTTATTCAGCTCTAACCAAACACTTTCACATTACAATGTATGAAAGGAGATGATGGAGAGCGTAATAATGATAAACCCTTACTAATAATAAGGGTCATTATCAGTGGTGGGAAGTACAAGCGCCATACTCAAGTTCAAATGTTGAGGTACTTGAGTATACTTCTACAACAATTCAAAGGTAGATATTCTACTTTTTACTTCAATACATTCATTTTAAAACCGTAGTTACTTCAAAGATTCAGATTTCTAAACATAGAACTAATGAATAACTACTACTCGTTATATTTAACCATCCAAAACATGATTTGGGAAATTAATTGGTGGCAATTTTGCTAATTGTTGTGTATAGTATTTTTTGAGAAAGACTACTTATTTTCACCGTTGTAAGAATGTGGCATGGATTTTATCATCTGTTTTTGCAACTATATATGTTTTCTAATGCTGTCAAAATTATCGCGTTAACGGCGGTAATTAATTTTTTGAATTAATTGCATTAAAATATTTAACGCATTTAACGCATGTGCAGAATGGCCCGCCCCATACGTGCCACCAGTGGCAGCGCCAGGGTATGGCTGGGGTAGGCTACAGCCATACCAAGAAATGGCTTAGCTCCACCTTGAAAAATGATGTTAAAGTAAGCTAAATAAAGTCTGCCAACTCGCGGAGTAAATTGCACAGACAGCAGTTAGTCAGTCAGATTGATTTCAGCAGCCACTTGTCTGGAAATACCGAAGACTAGAAACGGTTTTGAAAACTTTTGTCACGTAGTGATCGTCTTCTCAATAGAACATCTTTGATAATGTCTTCTGGCCAATCAGAATCAAGATAACGGCGTGGTGTTGTTGCAGGAAGTCCCGACGGAGAATACTTTTGCGGTAGTACATCTCTCTATACATCGATACAACATTACGTGTTGATAGAAATCAACACGTAATGAAATCAGACCCCACGGTTTGATGATTGATAGGTGTGTGGGCTGTCTTTCATTTTGACACACAGAACAATGTTATAATAAACATACTGTATGTTAAATGGATATATCCGCCTTCTTTCATTTATCTTTCCATTCCCAAAACAATATACATAAAGAAATGGCATATTTTGGACATAGTTCGAATGGTGATTAATCATGATTAATTTTTAAGCTGTGATTAATCTGATTAAAAATTGTAATCGTTTGACAGCCTTAATGTTTTCACAATGTTTTGTTCACCTGAAGTTTCTTGCTGTCACACTTTGTATGAATGAGTCTGACAGCCTTATAGCGATAAGGCTGTCAGACTCAGAGGTGACCAACTCATTCATGACAGAGGATGACAGAAGTCACACACTCACCGGCAACAACATCCGGTGTCCACAGACACTTGTTAGTCTTTGTTATGATAGTTCCCGTCTGAAAGACACGGTTCTCTAATAACAGTGACTTGCCAAGTTTCCAGACGCTTTTCTGAAAAGTTGTAATATTTTCAACCTAGTCCTGGAGCACTCGGAGCGGCCGCACAACAACAACAAAAAGACGCTGGCGTTTAGAAAAAGGCACCATGTGGACACAGGCCCTAAAACATTTCATTGATCCAGCGTCCTCAAATGTGATGATTTAAATATCTTACTTCATTTGTACATATAGTAACATTCTCAATGCAGGGTTTTCACTTGTAATGGAATATTTCTACAGTGTACTATTCATACTCTGCGACTGTGGCTGTGAGGGGGTGCGGTCGTCTTTCAACCAGAAGGTTGTGGGTTCGATCCCAGACCATGCAGTCAACATGTCGATGTATCCTTGGGCAAGATACTTAACCCTGAGTTGCTCCTGATGGCCAACGGTGTGTGAATGTTAGTTCCTAGAGTAACTGCTCTGTATGAATGGGTGAATGACATGTGGTATGTAAAGCGCTTTGAGGGGTCTTAAAGACTGGATAAAGCGCTATATAAGTACAGTCCATTTACCACTACTCTGCCTTAAAGGTGGGGTAGGTCATTTTGGAGAATCCAGCTCGAGTGCGCTAGAATTTGAAAATACACAGCCGGAACAAATCTGCCACTTCCTTACAGAGCCCCTCCTCCAACACACAGGAACGCGCACATGACCAATGAGGGCACGAGATAAGTTTGTGCACAGAAGGAAGGCTGACAGGCAGGTAGGCCATCCAGTTACTTTAGCCGGGCCGGCTCAGATGATTGGTGGTGCTTTTTACAGCGCCACGTCTTCCACAGATGACATTTTTTATGGATTTTTTTTTTGTCAAAGCATTTAAGATATTCATTGCTATCGGGATGTTAAGAGCATTCCATGGAATATAACAAAAAGTGTATCTCGAGCCGGTTTCTCAAACTTACCTACCCCACCTTTAAGTAAAGGATGTGAACACTTCTTCCACTACTGGTCATTATGCAGTAAAACGCTGTGTCAGTGAGAGTGCTTTGGGGCTGACTAAACCGCATATTTCAAAATATAATAATCAGACATGACACCCTTCTGTAGTGGAAACATGAAAAGCAAAGCACAGAAGGTAAAAGGTGAGAAAAGAACAAGAGGAGCAGCTCCGACCTCCTCGTGTTAAACGTGACCTTTTCTTACCAGCCGGTGTTGAACTCGACGTGGGCATCAAAGAATCCGACGACAGGAGCCGTGGCCGCGTTCCAGCCGTGAATCCTGGCTCGAATCAGACCTTCCCGTTTGCTGTTCCTCACAATCTTCACCAGGCCCGGGTAGCGTTTGTTCACATACTGATCCAAGTTGAATTTCAGCTCCACTGAAAGAGGCAAGGCAAGGCAAGTTTACTTATATAGTACTTTTCAACACAAGGCAATTCAAAGTGCTTTACAAAAATGAAAGACATGAAAGGTCCCCTATTATACTGTTTTTATTCAATATATTACAGGTCTCAGATATATACAGAACCTGTCTCTGATTGGCTGAAACACCAAACAGATTATTGCAGCATTACCCATAATCCCCTCTGTTTCAGCCCTGTTTCCAAAGTGCTGATTCTCTGTCTGTTACTTTAGATGAAAATAAGGAGCCCCTCCCCACGCCCCTCTGAGAGACATTTGGTTACAAAGAACACAAGAGGTGCATTCACACCGCAGTACTTTTCCCACAAAGGTTCATGAGAACTTAGTTCATGAGAACTCTTTTGTCGCGTTCACACCAAAAAGAGCCGGTACTAAAATTAGTTCATGAGAACCTTTTTACCCCCTCGAAAGTCCCAGCTAGAGAGCAGGGACTTTCGAGCGGCTCTCTTGTGAGAAAATAGCTATATGTCTGATTGGCTGGGCGGATTGCAAACCACGCCCCGTAAAACTCCCAAAAAGTTTTGTGAAGCCGCCATTTTATTATCCTCTCATTAGCATTATTAGCATTAGACCAGCGCAGAAACGCAGAGAGACTAACTTATGGCAACACAAAATAAAACATGGGAGCGGTGGAGATGAGGAGGTGTCTGCATTCTGGCGATTTACTCGGAAGGCTTCAGTAGAAGCTGCTGGGACTCCCAGCAGCTTCTACTGAAGCCAGTCCCCAACTCCGGGGACTTCCGGCCGGGGACTTTGGGCGGCAGTATACGCCGTGAAGTGGTTTGCGGCCTGCCAGTAAACCCAAAGCAGAAGAAGAAGAAGTGACGTCAGCGGCTTCATTTGCCTAATCCTCCCCCAGGGACTTATTCCGGTGTGAACGCGATCTGTACTTAGTTCATGAGAACTAAAGAGTTCACATGAACTAAGTTCAAATGAACCTTTGTGGGAAAAGTACTGCGGTGTGAATGCGCCTAAGGGTGCTCTAGGAGGAGATTCAGGTGATAAGGTGGGGGGGGGGGGTTACCTTGGTTGGTGATTGGCTAATGGTTACTCAAGACAAAACATCGTTATGACATCATAAAGTGGCCAAAATCTGATCAGCTCATTTTCAGACAGGTTTTTATAGAAATGGATCAAAAAGAGAGAGAATCTTTGTTCCTGAAACTTTCAGAGTCTCTTTCCACAGAGGGGACACATGTTGATGTAGAAGAGACATGAAGAAGAGGGGACACATGTTGATGTAGAAGAGACATGGAGAAGAGGGGACACATGTTGATGTAGAAGAGACATGAAGAAGAGGGGACACATGTTGATGTAGAAGAGACATGAAGAAGAGGGGACACATGTTGATGTAGAAGAGACATGAAGAAGAGGGGACTCATGTTGATGTAGAAGAGACATGAAGAAGAGGGGACACATGTTGATGTAGAGGAGACATGAAGAAGAGGGGACACATGTTGATGTAGAAGAGACATGAAGAAGAGGGGACACATGTTGATGTAGAAGAGACATGAAGAAGAGGGGACACATGTTGATGTAGAAGAGACATGAAGAAGAGGGGACACATGTTGATGTAGAAGAGACATGAAGAAGAGGGGACACATGTTGATGTAGAAGAGACATGAAGAAGAGGGGACACATGTTGATGTAGAAGAGACATGAAGAAGAGGGGACACATGTTGATGTAGAAGAGACATGAAGAAGAGGGGACACATGTTGATGCAGAAGAGACATGAAGAAGAGGGGACACATGTTGATGTAGAAGAGACATGAAGAAGTGGATTTTGCACAATAGGAGACCTTTAAGAGCATAAAACACATTAGAAACATTAAAAGGCAAAGATAATAAAACATGAATAACACAGGTACATGATTACAAGTTACAGAGCAGTGTAAGATGTGAATAGTTCAAGCAGTCAGAGTTGCAGCGGACCTGCAGGTTTCTGGTAGTTTGTTCCATATATTTGGCAAAGCCCTCACCAAATGCTCACATTCCTCTACCCCTAGTCTTCCCATGAATGAAATCGTTCTTTAAATGACATCCAAACGAGTCGAGAGGACATTAGCCAGGCAGCTGTAGCAAATGATAATGTACTTTCAAAATGGTCTAACTTCACTTGATTCTTAATTTCAGGAGTTTGGCTAAAAAAAAAGTTTTGAGAACTATTGTCAGGAAGCAAGCAGGAAGAAAAATGCCATCAGTTTCTCATTACACTTTGAAAAGTAATTACATAACTAAGTCATTATTCAACAGCTAAACTTATTTGTCACATTAGCAGCTCACTCAGCTTCACATTAGCTGGTACCTTAAGCTTAACAACTCCAAGCCTCCAAATACACAAAACAGCTCTTCAGTATTCAACAAGTGTAGGAATAGAAAACCAGACATAATTGTTTTACAAGAATGGTTTCGAGGTATTTACTGATCATCATGACCTAGCTTAGCATTAGCCTAGCTACTTGCATGTAGCACTAGTCCCGTATTACAGTGAAACAGTGGGGTTTACACACCCGCAAATTAGCATATTATGTCCTCTTTAAACATTACAAATACAAAATACCAAAATTAAGTTTCTGCAACAAAAGAGCAGGCAACATCTTAATGAAAATATTGGATTCCCAATTTTATAACTCGATATCCAAGCCCACGTTGACATATTTTGCCCCGCTTGACAGGTGTTTCCTCAAAAAGTAGAATGAAAGATATCTGGGATTCATAATGGGAGACACAACTAACATTTCTACAGTTTTATGGAAATGTGGTGCAGCACCATAACATCCACTTCCTCTCAATGCCACAATACTATAAGTGTATTTTAGTAAAAGTCAAAACCTCCAAAACCATAGCACTTAATATTTCTTTAACATGGGTGTGATGGTAGGTAGGCCGCATACTTATATATATAATATATATTCTTGAAATGGCAAATTTAAGTTTATTTAGTGGGGGCTCGGAAAAGTTAGGAAAAAAAGGGTCAACACATTTTGTTTATAGCAAACTAATGAGGAGATAAAACATAAACCGAGGGCTCATGCATTTTAAACGAGACACTGTTTTGGTATTGGCAGCCTCGATGCTTACTCATAAACCAAATCGTCTCACAAATTGTTTAAAATCGAACTAGAAATTAATTTGATCATCCAAACTGAAGTCTCTATTCCAGCTGGATTACACCATCTCTCCGCCTCTGCTCTCTCAGACGAGCTTGGCAGTCATAACTTTAAAAAATAAAGTTTCCCGGGTAACAGCCAGTTGCACAAATTGCCGTCTGTGTTTGGTCGGAGAATAGATGACGGTTTGAGTTTCTCCTCTGGGTGACTGCTGAGCGCTCCACTTTCTGGGGGAGAGATTAATAAGGATGCTTGTGGCTCTGAGCAGAATCCACACCTCACCAGTGTGGCTTGCCATAAATCAGACAGAGAGAGAAAGTAGAAAAATGTCTAATCCCTTTTTCTGCGAGGCTGTGGAGACTCAGTGAGTGGAAGGATAACAAAATGTGGGGGCAGTGACCCTTGAAGCCAATGGGTCTTAGCATTTGACACCAAATTAAAGCAACCACTCATGGAGACTTCTTCTGTTTCTGCCTGCTGGGGATGTGTGGGTTTTTTTCTTTCTTTGGTATTCTAATGTTTAAAGAGGCCCTATCCTGCTTTTTGGGTTTTCCCTTTCCTCTAGTAGGTTTTGGTGCATGTAAATGGTCAGCAAAGGATGGAATTCAGAGATTGGGTTCTCTCCCACTCACCTCCCTGCCTGAAAACACCTCCATCGGACTTCTTTGTTTACTTCAGGAAAATACTGTCATGACTATGTAACACTCACGCTTCTATTGGCTAGCGCTCTAGCACATTGTACGTGATAGGCTAAGGGGCGGGACATCTCTAAGCGGTTGACCAATCACAACAGAGCCGGCCAGCTAACCAATCAGAGCAGACTGGGCTCTGGTTTCAGACAGAGGGTGAAAAGAGGTGCTGCAGCACAGGCAGTATGAGAAGAATTAAGAGCTTTTTGAACCTTAAAGTATGGAGACATGAAGTAGAGACACTACATACTGATATACACCTGAACATCAGCAGGAGAGGACTCTTTAAAGTAGAGACACTACATACTGATATACACCTGAACATCAGCAGGAGAGGACTCTTAAAAGTAGAGACCTACATACTGATATCCACCTGAACATCAGCAGGAGAGGACTCTTTAAAGTAGAGACCTACATACTGATATACACCTGAACATCAGCAGGAGAGGACTCTTTAAAGTAGAGACACTACATACTGATATACACCTGAACATCAGCAGGAGAGGACTCTTTAAAGTAGAGACACTATATACTGATATACACCTGAACATCAGCAGGAGATAACTCTTTAAAGTAGAGACACTACATACTGATATACACCTGAACATCAGCAGGAGAGGACTCTTTAAAGTAGAGACACTACACACTGATAGACACCTAACATCAGCAGGAGAGGACTCTTTAAAGTATAGACACTACATACTGATATAACACCTGAACATCAGCAGGAGAGAACTCTTTAAAGTAGAGACACTACATACTGATATACACCTGGACGTCAGCAGGAGAGGACTATTTAACTGATATACACCTGAACATCAGCAGGAGAGACTCTTTAAAGTAGAGACACTACATACTGATATACACCTGAACATCAGCAGGAGATAACTCTTTAAAGTAGAGACACTACATACTGATATACACCTGAACATCAGCAGGAGAGACTCTTTAAAGTAGAGACACTACATACTGATATACACCTGAACATCAGCAGGAGAGGACTCTTTAAAGTAGAGACACTACATACTGATATACACCTGAACATCAGCAGGAGAGGACTCTTTAAAGTAGAGACACTACATACTGATATACACCTGAACATCAGCAGGAGAGAACTCTTTAAAGTAGAGACACTACATACTGATAAAACCTGAACA